AAGGAATCACGACGGACGGAATGGAGCATGCCGAGTCCAATGCAGCGGCAGCATGCAACGCGCACATTGCCTCCGGTCGAGGCAACCTACCCCGAGCTTAGGCTGTCCGCAAACGGGAGGGCCGCAATCATGCCCTCTGCGGTGGCTTCTCCATGCTGCTAGTGGTCCGTGCGAAACAGCTTGGTGCCCTGTGGAGCCCAGGCCTGTGATGCTCCGAGGCATGGCGGCGCCACGTCCCCGCCCTCTGGGATCGGCTGTGCTGCGGTGCTCTTGGGGCTGCGTCTGTGCTCTGCCTCTGCAGCAGGCAGACCGCTCGTCCTTCACACTGTCCGACTCTCACGTGCTGCGATCCCCACTGTTGTCTGAACACTTTGTGCTCGCGTGCCCCTGGTGACTGGAATATGGATTGGCCCTTCACGCCGTATGCGCCTGACACGTCCATCCGCGACAGTTTGCATGGCATGGCCCTTGGCCCCGGCGGCGTATTGAGTGCGTTTCTACGCCATCTTGCACCCGCTGCTCGCACAGAACGATGAATAACACTTCCCTCGCTGAAGGCGGCCTGCGAAGTTTCTGCGAAACGGGGAAATCATCTCCATCCGCAGACACGGGAAGAACGCATGCCGCACGGAGAGTTGCCGACCCATCTCGCTGCTTTCTGCCCTGCTAGGGGAGAGCGAAGGACTGGTCCACCGCCGCCTGTCAGCACTGCTGGCACACCACCAACGTCGGCCTGGATCCATGCCACGACGCACGGCCTCCGACGTGGTGACGCCTGTGAGTGACGAAGCGGCACGAGGGCTGAGCGAGCGCATTGCCGTGGATTGCGGGCGTGGCAGGGGCGGCGTCCTGCGCTGCGCCGTCGCCGTCGGCGCTTTCTCGTGGTCCCGATCGGCCTCTCGACTGCGTTCGACACCGTTGGCGATGGGCGAGTGCTGGCTGTGCTCTGCGGGCTCCCGCGCCTGGGCCGTCGCGCCCAACGCTGGTAGCGCAATCATCTGCGAGGCGGCTGTGTTTGGGTGAGTGCTCGCGAGCAATATTCCCGACAGCAGCTTCCCTCAGCCGTGGCAGCCCAATGCAAGGTCGTGCGGCCCCAGCTCCTCCACCGCCACGTGGATGGACTGATGCGCCGCCTGGATAGCATTCCCTTTGCGTCGGCGTTCATGCACGCTGACGACCGCACGCTTGTTTCCTTGGGTGTGGACATCCTTGCCTGTGGTGCAGCAATGCCAGCTGCCGTGTCCGTTGTGACCACGTGGACTGCCGAGCACAGCCTGAGGATCAGCGCGGACAGGAACGGTCCGCTCTGTTCTGCATCGCTTCACACCGACTGTCTGACGAGGACACGGCCGACCATCGTCTGGGCGGTGGTAACCCACGCGTCAAACCCCACCCACTGCTTCTGCTTCTGCTTGGCAATGCGATTGATCAACTTATTAATTTTGTTGTGCACGTCACCGCCGCTGCAGAGCAGACCGTGCCACGCCGCCTTCAGCTGCGGCTGGGCGCAGAGGCTGGGGCGTCCCAGTACAACATGCGATCCTTTCTGGTTTGATGCGTCCACAGTGCGTTGCACCACGGCGGCGAGGCAATCGCACCGTGTCCGACCCCAACCCACTTCTACAGCCTGGAAGTGCGGGACCGCGACAGCTGCACAGCATCGCTCGGTCCACGCGCATCAGCGAAGGATACTTCTGTCCACCTGGCCGCCAGTTCAGCACCGCTGCGGAGGATCGTTGGGTTCCGCGCACCCACACAGCACAAACGCCTCACATTTCTTTGGTATATTGAGGACGTGCGTGGCGCAATCTGATTGAAAAAACACCTTCGTCAATACTTGGGAAGGCAGCGACGACCATTCCGCTGCCGAGAGATGCCGTCCTCAAGGAACTGCGACGCGTCCGCAGCCACATGGGGATCTTCCCGCACCACATCCGCGCCCCTCATGCTGAGCACCGAATTTTCGTCTGCGACACTGTGAGCTGCAGCGGGGCGGGCGTCTTCCAGCCACGGCACGCCAAGGACGCCCCGGACGGTGTCAGACGATCGGCCCCTGAAGCGGCCTGCGCCTCCCTGGGCCGTATGACGCAGGCCGCTGGACGGACGGCTTGTCGTCTCTCGCTCAGCATGCGTCTGGATCCGCGCCGCCGCTTGACTCCCCGGACAGCGGAGCTCCCTGTGGGGCCTCACCGCACAGCCGCTGGTAGCCTTGCATGCTCTTGCCGAACGGAGTGTCCTGCCACCGAGCATGGCCACAGAAAATTCCCAGTTCCCCGCCTGGCAGCAGCATCCCAATCGCCCACACGAGTTCCTGTAGCCACAGACTCCCTCTCGGCGATGGAGTCACTCCGCCTTGGCCCGGTGGCGCTGCAGGACGACGTCAGCGAGGGGATTTGTACCGTGCCGCATTCACTGGTGGATTGAGGTCACACAGCTGGCTTCACATTTTCCCCATGGCACCACGGAGTCCCACGCAACGTGAAAGCGGACGCGGACACCATCATGGCACGATCCCTCCCGAAAACTGCGCCAATGCCTGGCACGTGGGCTTCCTCACTGCAGTCAGGCGGCTCTACTGGAAGGATGTGCAGGGGGCACGGGAAGGCGCGCACACCGCGTGACAGGCGCCTTTCGCTGTGGCGAGGACTCTATTCCTGGTGTTGACCCGGACATCGGTCCCCGAGTGACGGCACCGCGCACAGGCGCGATGCGACACCTGCCCACTCTTCGACAGGCCTGCACGCGCCCTGCGGATCACAAGTAACCCTTCATGTCGGTGGTGCCGCCCCTCCCTCACTGCGGTGAGCGGCCCGCCACTGCCTCCGCCAGAACCTCTTCCCGACGTGAGCACCGCAACTCCTTGTCGACCGGCGAGCGGCGGATTGAAGTCCTCCTGCCCAACCTGCGGCAGAGTGCACTTGTCCGTCCACAGTATGGAGGCACATGCCCGACGTGCTCAGCCTGGCGTTATAATAGTTTGCGAGGGCCTCCCATGCGGATGCCACAATGGCGCCACCGTCTTCTTAACAGGCGCATTGCGCGCAGGTCACCACCGAAGTTGCCAAGCATGCCAGCAGGCAAGACACGCAGGAAGCACAACCGCGGGAACTCAATATGGAACAGGCTTTTCCGCCACCGCTTCATCACAGACGCCACGGGCTGCTGGTCCCACGGCGGACCACGAGAGGGTCTGCCTCGTCCACTGCGGGAATGCCCGCGTCGCTGGGAATTGGGACTGCGACTGTTTGTGACTGCCCCAGCCCGCACAACGGCCCGTATGAGATGGAATACTTGCCTCTTTTCTGCAGACAGTCCCTTTGCTACTCACACTTTTTTTCCACAAGATGCAACGAAAAAATTAGTAAATTGCTTTTTTGATGAATACTGGCCGCACTTTCCGTGGACCAACAATCCACGTGGTGTGCGGGGATCTCTCATTTTTGAGTGTTACTTCGCCTTTGTATTTCTGTGGGCTCTGGATCCTCTTGCGTGTGTGTGTGCGTACCCTCCGTGAGGGGTGCCGACACGACGGACTGCTCTCGCCGTATGTGCATGCGTGGAGTCTTGTGTTCCGCTCCTGTTTGCTTTTCCCTCTTTCGTCTGTGTGTTGGTGTTGTGCACTGTGTTTTTTTTTTTGCGGCTTTTGCCTTTTGTTTTTACTTTCTCTGCTTTCTGTTATTGCCGTTTTATTTATGGTGCGCGGGGTGTTGTGCTTTGTTTGCCCTTGTACTGGTCCCATCTTCTCTGTGCTGTTTGCTGCTGTTGCTTCGGGGCTTCTGCCAGTTGTTACTGTGCGGTGGCTGTATTTGCCGTAGCTGCCGTCTTTCTCTTTGCTCTCTCACGCTCTTGCAGCTCGAATTTACACTGTTGAACAACAATACTTCCGATGATGTGCCGTGTGTTTTGTCTTCTGTTGACGCCTGCACTGCTTTGCTGCTGCTCTTGTGTGTGCGAGACGCAGAAGCAGCATCAGGTGGACTCGGTGTTAAATGCGGTGCGTGCGGATGTTGGCAACCCGTGGGAATCCATCGTGGTATAACTGCTCAGATGCAGCTGCTGGCTTGGAAATTATAGTTTGCGACAGGGTACTCGAAATCTTTACGTCTGATGAGGTTCAGAAGCCTACCGAAGGAGGTATGATGGATGAAGGTGTTGTCTTCACGATCAACGTTCCTGCGGACCCTTTGCTCACGGTGGAGGAATGGTGGGAGGATGTCGTGGAGAAGGAGGCGGTCACAGGTGAAGTTGTTTTGGCCACAACTCCCGGAGCAGGACGAGGGGGAACGGCAGGAGCACAGACAGGGGAAGTAATCGGGAGTCTGCCGAAGATGGAGAAGTGGAAGAGGCTGCTGTGCAGAGTGCACCAACTCTCAGTTCAGAGAAAAGAGCTTTGCCATCGTCAGCGACAATCATGCGGCATAACGTGCTGAGGCGTGTGCGGCAGGAGGCCATTGCCCGAGGTGGCGATGAGCGAGGATCAACGTGAGGGTGTAGCTGCTGGTGGGAAGCACGCAGCACCCCAACTGCCCGCACCGCGAGCACCAACAACACCGCCACCAGAAACAGCAGAGGCAGCAGCGGGAAAATTACCAAAAAAATCACAAAATCTGCGGGGTGAATCAGCAGCAGAACTGTCAAAACCTGCGGCACCAGCAAAGGAAGCAGGACAAGTGACCCATAATGCACCGAGAGCACAGGAGTCACTGCCACCGAAGGCGCCCGGCCAACCTCAAAACAAGAAACGAAGATCCGACATTTTAGCACAAGAAGAAGCACTAGCGGGTTGGAGTCCGTGTACAGCGCAACAACCGGACGTCCTCGCGAGCCGCCTCCATACTCAGTAGCTTCAGTTCGCGGTGTTTCTGTCAATCAAGAGCAAGCAAATCTATTATCTCATTCTACAGGTGGCATTGCGTCTAATCCGGGTGCGGCAAATAACCTCACTCTATACAACACTTTTGGCAATCGTCAGCCATCTTACGTCACAATACTGCACGCGGATGGCTGTCACGAAGCCATCTTGGGCGGCGCGCGGGAAACAGGACTGGAAGCCACGAGTGATGCGGCTACGTCGGGCGACAGTGACGGCAGCACCGCGGTCTCCCACACCACCTTCCCTCTTTTGCTTCTTCTTCTTGTTGTGTGTGCGGCTGCTGCTGCGGTGTCCGCGTGAGAGTGAGTGTGAGAGAGCCGTGCACCGCCCGCACACACACTCTTCCTTCTCTCTGTGTGTGTGTGTGTCCCTTGCATGGACTCTCGCCCTCACCTCACCCCACGAGGCACACACAATAATGTGCCCATTGTATATATGCATGCACACCCATGCAGGCCCGTTGGTGCTCTCTTTTGCACGACACGCACCGCTGCCGTCCTGCCTGGCTGCATGGGCGGAGCACCGTAACTGTTTTTATTTTGTTTGCATTGAGTGGGCGATCTCTCTCTCTCTCCCTGTGTGTGTGTGATGATATGAGTAATTTACGTGTGTGCTATCTGCCTCTTTCTGCCTTTGCTTTCTCTGGACTCTTTTGTGTCGCACAGCTGCTCCGTAATTATAGGCGCTGACAAACACAAATGCGCAGACACGGACGCCATGCCACACACGCTGCGGAGCGGCGTGAGCGCTGAGAACGCACGCACAATATTCTGGCTGCGGTGGCTTTTGCGAGGAGGGAAGGAGCGTGCGATTTATTTTCTTGAAATGTTGGCGGCGTGCGGGCCGGTAGGTGGTGTGGTGTTGAGGGTGCCTGGGATGAGTGCGGATTGATTCCCGCCCTGCAGCCTCGCGTGCCGACGTGTCTTTTCCGCTGTGGATTTGTTGTTGGGGATATTCCGGCTGTGCGGGTGCGCTGGCGGATACAACAGTGAAAGGGCCGGCGGCAGCGCGTGGGTGGTGCGAAGGGCGGCTGTGTCCTTTTGCGTCCTGCCGGTTGTTTTGTGTGGATGTTGCGCGGTGTGTTCTGACGCTTGGCAAAATCACCCGCCGTGGCTCCTGCTGGTGGTGGCAGTCGCTGTGTGTTCCCGGTGCACTGTTCTTCCTTCTCCTTTTCCGTGTGTCTGTGTGCGTGAGTTGTTGTTGTTGGGAGTGGCTGCGGCTGGGATCATGGTGCCGCTCACAGTGGACGGGTGGCTGTGCTCACTGTCTTGTCTCTTTGCTTGGCATGCTTCCTTCTCTCTCTACTTTTTGAACACAGACACACGTTAGGAAAGAAGGAAAGCAAGCGCTAATCGCTACTGTGAAATTCGAAGGCTCTGAAAGGACCAACAGCACACACACCGCCCACACTCACACACATATTTATATGCTCTCACGTGTTGCTGCAGTGAAGGCACCCCGCACACACAGCCGTCGCCGCGTGACCGGATCCAGCGGAAGGAGGAGGGAAGGAGGAGAGAGTGAGCCGCAGAGGCCCAACATGTCCCGGCGTGTGTTTACTTTTGCGCTGCTCCTCCCTCTTGTCGTGATGATGTGCTGCGGCAGTAGTGGAGGTGCGGCCGCTGTGGGGAGTGTGTCAGAGGATGAGCATCTTTCTAAGTGGGTCGATATTTTTGTCCCAAATAAGACGCAGGTGTTGGCAGGAGAAGATGATTCTAAAAGTGGAGTTGGGGTTTCGTTTGTCTCACCCTCTCTTGTCAGTGCTGGTGGTGTAATGGCTGTGCTTGCGGAGGGTATCATTTCATATAATCCCTCCGGTGCCACAGAAACTTTTGTTTATCATTCCGATATTGTTGCGGGGTACGTCAACGCTGCGGAGTCGTGGCCGTCTCTTGTCGCCGAGATCAATGACGGTACATGGAGGGCACACACCGTGTTAAGTACAGTGAATGAGGAGAGACATGTGGGTATTGCGCGCTTTCCCACAACCATTGCAAAGGGCAATAAGCTGTTTCTTCTTGTGGGAAGCTACATTATGATGCAAGACACTAAGGATGATTTTTGGAAGCTTGGTGGCACGGATATTCAACTGGTTCAGGGTGAGGCCACAAAGTCTACGGAGGGCAAGCAGAGTAAATCGATCAAATGGGGCGAGCCCAAATCGTTGCTGGGACAGATTGCTCCACAGGCTCAAGGTGACTCGAAAGTGCTTTGGGCCGGCGGTGGTGGCTCCGGTGTTCTGATGGAGGATGGCACTTTTGTGTTTCCTCTGCAAAAGCGGAAAGAAAATGGTGAATTTCTTTCCATGATCATTTATTCGACAGACGATGGAAGTAGCTGGACACTCTCAAGGGGTATGCTTCCTGCGGGCTGCCGTGGCTCCTGCATCACCGAGTGGGAGAGAGGACAAATTCTCATGATTACGGATTGTGATGATGGCCAGAGGGTGTTCGAGTCGCGTAACATGGGGACAACGTGGACGGAGGCTGTCAGAACACTCTTGGGCGTGTGGGTCAAGTCAGAATCAGAATTCTTTTGGGACAAAAGTTTGCGTGCGGGAGCCCTCATCACCGCGACCATTGAGGGAAGGAAGGTTATGCTGTACACTCAGAAAAGGTACCCCACGCAGGAGCAAAAGGACAAGGCGCTCTATCTTTGGGTCACGGACAACAACCGCACGTTTTATGTCGGACCGTTTTCTGTGGACAGTGCTGAGAACAAGACGTTTGCCAACGCCCTGTTGTACTCGGATGCTGAGCTTTATCTTTCACAGCAGAGGGGCATTAAAACAGGCACAGCCGTTTCACTTTCCCGCCTGGCGGAGGAGATGAATACAGTCAGGTCCGTCCTCAGCGGTTGGGCACAGCTGGACGCCTCCTTCTCCGAGTCATTCACGCCCACGGCTGGTCTGGTTGGATTTTTGTCCAACGCAGCCAGTGGTGACACGTGGATCGACGAGTACCGCTGCGTGAATGCAACGGTGACGAAGGCAGCGAAGGTCCACAATGGGTTCAAGTTCACGGGGCCTGGGTCCAGGGCAATATGGCCCGTGAACAGCCGGGAGGATAATAATCAGTACGGCTTTGTGGATCACAACTTCGCTATTGTGGCGACGGTGACCATCCACAAGGCTCCGAAGAAGAGCACTCCTCTGCTGGGTGCGAGTCTGGGGGAAGGTCATCCCACGAAGATGATTGGGCTGTCGTACGGCGCTGGAAGTAAGTGGGAGACGGTGTTTGACGGCAAAACAACAGCACAGGACAGCACGTGGGAGCCGGGGAAAGAATACCGGGTGGCGCTGATGCTTCAGGGCGGCAACAATGGCTCCGTTTACGTGGATGGCAAGCTCGTGGGGAGCTCGGAGACGATACCAACACTTGAGACGACGGTGCTTGAAATCTCACACTTTTACATTGGGGGCGACGAGGGAGACAGCGACAGTGATCTGACGGTGAAGAACGTCTTTCTGTACAACCGCCCACTGAGTGCCGATGAACTAAAAATGGTGACGAAGAGAGAGGACTCCGTGCGTGGAGACGTGTCTCGGGTGCTCCTGCTGCTGCTGGGGCTGTGGGGCATTGCGGCCCTTTACTGAGAGATCACAATGAGAAGTTGCTGCCTCCAGCGGGAACAATATGCGCCTTTCCACGCCCCCTCTGAAATAATAATTGTCTTTTTTGTGTGGATGCACCGCTCATTTTATATATTTTTATTTTTGTTTTGAAAACCCCCTTTTTTTCCATGTAAGTCTTTACGAAGGGTGTGCTTTCCCTCCGGGGACTGCACCGTGGTTTTTTTTTTTTTTTTTTGTGTGTGTGTTGAAATTTTTTGAGGACGGCGGGATGTCTTTAATGTTTCCGTCGGCCGAAGACACGTGCACTCGGTATTGAGCGCCACGACGATGGCGCAGCGAAAAAAAAAAGGTGAGGTGAAATGTACAACAACGCATGGAGTGCCCCAATGAAATGTAACTGTTGTGTGGACACCAAGGGGGTCTGAACGGACGAAGCAAATATATATTTCTGCAGGAAGAAAATATAAGCAGTTTTCCTTTTTTTTTTTTTATGGACGTGAAAACTTCGTTAGGGCAATTTTTTTTTGTTTTAATTTTTATTTTTTGTTTCTTCAAGCGTATTGTGGGTTGCCGCTGGTTGGCTGCCGTGCCATCTCGAGCTTCATTGGACTTCCCTCTTCTTTCGTCCTGCACCTCTGCTGCGCGTTTGTGTGCCTCTTTACGTGCGCGGATCTCTTTTTTTTTTTTTTTTGCGCGTCTGCAGGCACACGCACGCACACAAATAACCGCACGGCGTACATGTTGCGGTGCAGTTGGATGTTCCGCCTACACTCGGTGCTGGCTGCTGCGTGTGTTTTTTGCTTCACTCAGTGGAAATGAAGAGAAGGAAGGGGGAGGCGGTGAGAGTGCGCCGTGGCTCTCATTCCCTGTGGGAATGCTGCACGGCGTGTGGCGGTATTGTTTTGAGGCGCCGCACCATCACGCACGAGGACGTGGCACGGAGTCGAAGATCTTTTTTTTTGCGTGTCTGCTGCTGTGGGTGTGGGCGCGGCTGCGTCGGACCTGTCGGCGCGATGGCCGCAGCGTGTGGCTGTCACTTTGTTCACTCGGGAAATATTCCGCGACGCTTTCACTTGTGCGTTTTTTCGGGGACAATGTGCTGGTGGCTGTGCGATTGCCGGGTGGAGGGAGAGGAGTGGAAGGAGGTGCGTGAGCGCCGCGGTCAGGAGTCGCGTTGGGTGTCTCGCCGCGGAGGGCACTGCCCACCAAACCCAGCACCGCTCCTGCCGGGCACCCTCTATCACACTGCAGCATCGTAGTCGACGCCAGCAGCACGCAGCGAGGCAGCGGATGCCGCCACCACCACGAGTGCGACCGGAAGGGGACACTTTTGCTGTTGCGTTCGGAGGGGGCACTCCGTGTGGCACAGCGGCGTGCCCACAGCTTCTCGCGGAGCCCGCACACGACACCGGGCACTGGCCGCGGAGTGTTTGCGTCACATAGGACACTTTGTTGGAGTGCCTCCTTTCAGATGGAAGGACGCCTGATTTTCCCTTTGTTTTTACTCAGGCGGATGGCTGCGCGATGACACCCCAACGAGGCAGTTGTTTTCACCATGGAGGGGTAATGTCTGCAGGGTTACGCATTGGGAATGTGAATGACGGATGCAATGGGAAAAGGAGCGTCATGGTTTTTTTGTGCTGTGTGAATTGCGGAAATTTTCTATATGTATTCCTTGTGTGGGAGCTTTTCATGATGCATTGCTGCTGTGGCGTGTATGTTTTGTGATACCTGCGTGTGGCCGTCGCTGCACCGAATTCTCTTCCCACTTTTTCGTGTTAGGGGCTATGCCTACATGTATTTCTGCTGATTGTTTGCGGTAAGGGCGGTGCCACACGGGTGCGGGGACCGTGGCGAGCGGAATGCATGGGCTAACCCTCCGCGCCCACCACGGTGTTGTTGGTTTTGTTGTTAGCTTTTCCCGACACCGTGTTGGGTGAATGGCAGCCACTCGCCGTCGTTGCGGTGGTCCTCGTGCATGTGGTGTGCATCGCACGCTGTGCCGTCACACTGTG